ATCATATACCTAAAATGTTCCAATAAAATTAAATTAAAAAAAGAAACAATGTACAACAATATACTGTATACAAGAAACATGTTTGACTAAAAAAGCAATTCATAGACTGAAAGTCAAAGGATGGAAAACAGTACTCCATACATCAGGAACCTGGAAAAAAGCCAGGGTAGCTATTCTATTAGTAGGCAAAATGGATTTCAAGCCAAGACTGATCAGAAGAGACAAAGAAGGTCACCACATAATTGCTAAGGGAACAATCCAAGAGGAAGAGATAATCATAAATATATATGGACCAAATACTGGCACACCCAACTACATAAAACAAATACTAGTGAATATGAAAAGTCAGATAAGCACTAATACAGTTGTAATGGGGGACCTCAATACCCCACTGTCACAAATAGACAGATCAACTGAAAAAAAAACAAAAACCTAAAAAAATCAACAAAGAAACATCAGGGCTGAACAAAACCTTTGAATAGAAGGACTTAGTAGATATCTATGTAGTGTTTATCCAACAAGAACAGAATGCACATTCCTCTCAGCAACACATGGGGCTTTCTCCAAATTAGACCACATACTAGCTCATAGAACATGCATAAGTACATGCAAAGGAATTTAAATCATCCATGCATATTATCAGATCATAGTGCAATGAATTGGAAATCAGTGGCATAAGAAATCATAAAAAGTATGTAAATGCATGGAAATGATATAACACCCTCCTGAACACCAATGGGTCACAGATAAAATTAAAGAAATCAGACAGTTTCTACAATTAAACAATGTCAGTATGACATGGGACTCAATGAAAGCAGTCCTATGAGGAAAATTTATAGCAGTGAGTTCCCACATCAGAAAACAGTGAGCTCCAATAAATAGCCTAATGCTCAACCTCAAGGTTGTAGAAAAAGAAGAACAAGTTAAACCCCTAGTCCATACAGGGAGGAAATTATAGAGATCAGAGCAGAAATTAATGCTATTGAGGTTATGAAAACAGTACAAAACATTACTGAATCAAAGTTGGTTCTTTGAAAAATTAAATAGACAAACCCCTAGTCAACCTTATCAAGAAAGGAAAAACCCAAATCCATGCAATTAGGAATGAAAAGAGTGAAATCACAACAGATCCTGCAGAAATACAGAGGATCATCAATACCTACTTTGAGAACCTACACGTACTCTAAGAAGGTAGAAAACTCAGAAGAAATTGACAGATTCCTAGACACATATGAATTACCGAATCTGAATCAAGAAGATATAAAAATTCTAAATGACCCAATATCAATCAGTGAAATTGAAGCAGTAAGTTTTGAAAACCACCAAGGAAAAGCCCAGGTCTTGATGGATTCACTACTAAATTCTACAAGAACTTTAGAGAGGATCTAATGCAATTATGCCTCAAACTCTAATGAAACTGAGAGGGAAACAATATTCCCAAACTCATTCCTGGAACCAAGCATTACCCTGATACCAAAACCAGAGAAGGATTGAACCAAAAAGGAACTACAGGCTAATCTCCCTAATGAACATAGATTCTAAAATAAGATACTGGCAAACAATGCAGCAAATTATCAAAAAGATTATACACCATGACTAAGTGGGATTCATCCCAAGGATGTAGGGATGATTCAACATATGCAAATCAATAAATATAACACAGCACATTAATAGAATGAAGGACATAACCATGATCACCTCAATAGATGCAGAGAAAGCATTTGACAATGTCCAGTACACACTCATTATAAAAACCGTACAGAAAATTGGAATAGAAAGTCCTTATCTCAGTTTGATAAAAGCCATGGATGACAAACCAACAGCCAACATCATACTAAATCAGCAAAACCTAAAAGCTTTCACTCTAAAATCAGGAACAAGATAAGGGTGACCACTATCACCATTCCTGTTCAATATAGTTCTGTAAACATTAACCAGAGCAATTAGACAAGAGAAAGAAATGAAAGGAATACTTATAGGAAAGGAAGAAATTAAATTATCATTGCTTGCTGATGACATGATACTCTACATAGAAGACCTCAAAAACTCCACTAAAGGACTCCTAGAATTAATAACCAAATTTGCCAGCATAACAGCATACAAAGTGAACACTCAAAAATCAATAGAATTCCTGTACATGAATAACAAACTCACTGAGACAGAAATTAGGGAAACAATATCTTTAACAATAGCATCAAGGAAAATGAAATATTTATGAATCAATCTAATGAAGGAACTAAAAGACATATATTGTAAACTACAATACTTTGAAAAACATCAAAGAGGATATCAGAAAATGGAAAGATGTCCCTTGTTCTTGAATAGGCAGAACTAATATATAGTAAAAATGGTCATACTTCCAAAACCAATATACAGATTTAACTGAATCACAATGAAAATGCCAGTAACATGCCTTACATAAATAAAGAAAACAATCCTAAAATTCATTTGGAACCAGAAGAGACCTTGAATAGCAAAAGCAATTCTGGGCAACAAGGGCAAGGCAGAAAGCATCACAATCCCCAATTTGAAGTTATACTAGAAAACTATTCTGATAAAAACAGTATGGTACTGGCGAAAAAACAGATACAAGGATCAATGGAACAGAGCAGAAGATGCAGAAAGCACTCCAAGCACCCTCAGCTATCTTACCTTTGACAAAGGGATGAAACACCTTCACTGGAAGAAAGACACCCTCTTTAATAAGTGGTTCTCAAAAACTGGCTTTCCACAGGCCAAAGACTGAAACTAGACCCATATCTGTCACCATGCACTGAGCTAAAATAAAAATAGATCAAAGATCTAAATATTAAAACAGAAACACTAAATCTGCTAGAAGAGTGAATAAGTGGAAGTCTTGAAGACATAGGTGTAGGCAAAGACTTTGTGAACAAAACCTGAGATACACAGGAAATATTACAAAGAATCAACAACTAGGACCATATCAGATTAAAAAGTTTTTGCACAACAAGAGAAACCACCGACGGAGTGAAGAGACAACCCATAATGTGGATAAAATTCTACCAGGTATTCCTCAGGCAAAGGACTAACATCTAGTATATATACAGAACTCAATTCGATCCCCGGTACCAAAAAAAAAAAGTCAGTGATATACAGAACTCAAAATAATCAGACCCCCTTAAATTTAAAGACCCAATCCAAAAATGAGCATCTGAAATCAACAGACACTTCTCAGGTGAGGATGTACAAACAGAAACAAATTATGAAAAATGCTCAGCATCACTGGTCATTTGAGAAATGAGATTCTATCTCACTCTAGAAAGAATGGCTATCATCAGGAAATCAACCACTAACAAATCCTGTTAAGGCTGTGGCAAAAAAGGAACGCTTCTTCGTTGCTGATGGGAGTGTAGTCTATTACAACACTATGGAAATCAGTATGGCGATTCCTCAAAAAATTAAAAATAGAAGTCCCATTTGACTCTGCTGTTCCTTTTCTAGGTATCTTCCTGAAATAATTAAAAGCATCATATCACAGTGATGCATGCATACCCATGTTTATAGCAGCACAATTTATAACAGCTAAATCTTAGAAACAGCCCAAATGCCCAACAACAGATGAATGGATGGAGAAAATGTGGCATTTGTATACAATGGAGCACTACACTGCCATAAAGAAGGATAAACTTGAGTCTTTTGTAGGAAAATGGATGCACCTTTAGACCATAATCTTAAATAAATCAGACACAAAAGTTTAAATATACTGTGTGTCTTGTGTAAGAAACCCAAAAGGTAAATAAGGAGCATAATGATGGATAAATATTTGGAAGTAGGAAGAACATGTTCAAATAGGAAGGGGAATAAGAGAGGGGAAGAAGGGAAGGGGGAGAGAAGGAAAAAATGGTAACAAAGCTTTTGTCAATAAAGAGGGGAAGAGAGTTTGAAGGGAGGGGAGGGGAATGGGAAAAAAAGAAAAATGAAGATGTATTATGTATAGGTACAAATTCCTTATTATGATTGTGATCAATGTGTATGACAAATATGTACTAATAAAAAAAGTTTACAAAGGGGTTAAAAATGGGAGAGTCTCAATAATTCTAGTGATATTTAGATGAGGGAAGGATAGTGCTAATTGACAGAATTAGTGAATTCGAGAGGAGGAAAATGATAGAATGGAAGGAGTCAGTTGTTCCTGGAAGTAACATTTGGGATAAGGTGAGATTTGATGACATTGCCAAGGGAGAAAAGGTACAGGAAAAAGAGTAGAGGTATGAGGACACGCATTTGTGGAGCATTTCCATTTAGTAGCAGGAGGACACAGGGAAGTCTAAGATGGAACAGTTAGGACAAAAAACCAGGAGTGTCTAGTAACACAGATAATAGAAGAAGAGAGTTTTTAAGCATAGAGGTGGTCAAGTTTGGAAATATACCAGAGAAATGTAGTAGAAGATAACTAATAAGAGATAATTTGCCTTTACAGTGGCAAATCATCATGAGCTTTTTGGAAAATGGTTTCAGAATAGAGATGTGGGTGGAAATCAGATTGTAGAGAAGTTTGATGAACGGAAATTGAGAGATGATAGATAGATAGGCCAATCATGATGAAATGATAGCAGTGTATGGTAAAGCAAAGTTTTTAGAAGGGGAAGACTGGTTATAGACCAAGAGGAATGTTTCAATAGAGTAGGAAAAACACAGAAGTTATGACTGATGTTATGACCAGAATACTCAGTGATGTAGGCAAGGATGGAATCAAGTGGATAAATGGAAGGAATAACCATGGAAAAGAGAATTTATCTTAGCCTAAGATTGACAGAAAGAGTTTCTGATGTGAATGAGATTTCATATTGAGGAAGAATGTTGGAGAAACTTGTATCTAATGGTCCAATCTTCTTAGGAAGTCTGCTGTAAGGAGATCAGTTTTGCTGACATAAATGACCAATTTATTCACTAGTAGGATATGTGTGGATCTTACTCCCTCTTATGTAGTAGCCAGAATGAAAATTTATTTTTGAAATATGTATTTTTCTTATTTTTAGGGATATTTCTTTTCTGTATGATGTTAAATATGTAAAAGAAGAGACTAGAGAGAATGCAATTTGTCCCCCACATTTGGACCATGCATTACAATCCAAAGATGATCACAAGAAACATGATGGTGTCCTCCTGTCTCACAAGGTAAAACATTTGATAAATAATCTTCTCTCCCTCTCTCTACTCTTTAAATAACTTCCCCCAAATAGATTGCTTACTGTCTTATTTCCTTAAAAAGCTATTTAATGGCTAAAGATCAAAAATACCTTAAGCTGTTTTCCAAACCACAGTTGCCACTTTAGAAAGTACAATGGGAAGACTAGATTTTTCCTTCCAGAAATCCACATACAAAGTTGTAGATTTCTTATTCATGGTATGATGCTAAGCTGAATTTTAGTTTTCCTACTAAGTT